CACAGTGGCCTACAGCATTTGGCATCTACCTTCTAAAACAGTCTTGAAAAGCAGGACAACAGTGACCCATCTCTAGTCCCACAATGCTTTCCCTTTTTGCCATAGGTCAACATGGGAGAGCAAGTCTTTTCTTCTACCTACGAAGCATGGCCCTTACCTTCCTGTTAAGAACAGAATTTCCAAAGGTATTGTTTGAGGCTAGAAGGCCCTAAGGCCAAGCCATGATCAGCATGTGGCAGCTGGCTTCCTTCCTCAGTGGCAGAAGCTTTTACCTCTAAGATGGAATTCATTGATGAGCTCCCCAGGAAGGGGAAGCAGCCTCTTGAACCATCTCCCCTCCCGCATAGTTTTCTCCATTATGTGAATTAGTTACAGTCACTAAAATTGCATTTCTTCTCTCTTGAGCCAACTTCCTCTTCAGAACCTTGGTCCGTAGGATCCTATGTGCTCTGTCTACTTGTGGAAATCTGCTCTTCTAAAGCTTAAGGTCCACATAAGACTGTGACCAATGCCCTCTTCCTTCCTATCATAGGTTCCAAAATGGTGGTGGCCTCTCTCTCCCAGGGTTCTCACAGTTCCTGGCCAGGGATGGGAATGAGCCAGGGAGGCCATTCTCGCCTACCCTCAAGTGAGGGTGCTTTAGAATAACCCCTCTTGGGGCAACTAGGTGGTGCAGTGGATAGAGCACGGGCTCTGAAGTCGGGAGGACCTGAGTTCAAATCCGGCCTCAGACCAAACACTTGACACTTACTAGCTGTGTGACCCTAGGCAAGTCACTTAACCCCAATTGCCTAAAAAATAAAAAAATAGAACAACCCCTCTTCTGAGCTGTGGGAAAACAGGTACATCGTGGTACTGGGAACTGGTCCAGCCATTCTGGAAAATAATTGTGAAATTCTGTCCCAAAAGCTATTAAACTCCAAGTAGCCATTGACTTAGTGGTAACTCTAACTAGATCTCTACCCTGCCAAAGACATCAAAGGAAGAGGAAAAGGACCCATATGAACAAAATTATCCCTAGCAGCTCTTTTTTCTGGTGACAAAGACTTCGAAACTAAGAGGGTGAATGTGACAGAATACGATTGTGCTGAGGGAGATGTTGAAGGGGATGGTTTTAGAGACACCTGGGAAAATTTGTATGAACTGATGTCAAGGGAAGTGAGCAGAACCAGGGGAAGAGTTTATACAGTGACCACAGTATTGCAATGATAAACAACTTTGAAAGACTTAAAAGCTTTAATCAGTGTAATGACCACCCATGTCCTCCAAGTGACTAAGAATGAAACTTGCTATCTACTTCCTGATAGGGAGGTGATGAGCTCAGTGCATGGAGAGATTGTTTTCCCCTTTGGGCTGTGGCCAATGTGGGAATTTGCTTTGCTTGAGTATGCAAGTTTTGTTTTGGTTTTTTGCTTTCTCAACTGGGGTGGGAAGGACAGAAGACAGTTTCAAAAAATTATTATTTTTTTAAAAATTTTCTTCTTCTCTCAAGAAGACCCTTGGAGCATTGAACTGAATATTGGGGCCTGGAGGAAGGATATAGAGGCTCAGTCCTGTCTCTGATGACTGGCCACCTCCTCAGCTCCAACTATACTCGATGTTCACCTGAGAGACAGTATGGCAGGGGATAGTGGGAGTCAGGAAGAGCAGAGTTCAAATCCTAGCTTTGACACACTAGCTCTATGACAATGGGTGAGTTACTTAATCTCTCTGAGGCTCACTTTCCTCATCTATAAAATGGGTGGATTGGACTAAGTAACCTGTGGGGTCCGTTCGGGTTTTGGATCCATGATTCCATCACCTTTGTTTGGGCCATTTCCTAGGCTGGGGCCCCCAAGGCAGACCTCCATACTCTGCCTCTGTGGCCTGCCATAGAATCGTGATACCGTAGATTCAGAGCTGGAAGGAATCGCAAAAGTCATCGAATCTAATGCCCTCATTTTATTAATGAGGAAACAGAGGCTGGAGAGGTTACACAGTTACACAGCTAGCAAATGTGTGAGGCAGGATTTGAACCCAGGTCCTCATGACTCCAGTTCAGCCTTCCATCCAGTATGCCAGAAGTGTCAGACACTGAGCCCATGAGCCACATGTAGCCCACGAAGCTTCTGAGTGCTGCCCGAACCAGATTAAACTCTAATTGGAAAATATTTAACAAAATACATGAGAATACAATAAAACATAGGTAATATTCATATTTGGCTTTCTAAGTTAACTCCCAGCCCTCCTACCCTAAACTGCAGCTTGTCGTCCCCCACTTCTACTTGAGTCAGACACTACACCTGCCTGTCTCCTTCCTCTGGCCCCAGCGGTGGTCCCGGGGACATGCAGCCGTGGGCCATGCCAACCCAAGAGTGAGCAATTGCTTGTGAGTAACTGAGTGTGGCTAGGATATCCCCATTGCCTTCAAGCCAAACCTCCCCTAGAGGAGAGAATGCAACCCTGAAGTGTGCTAATGCCTAGCCTCTGTGGGTCCTCTATTTGTATTATACGCATGTTATCTCCTCCATCAGAGTGTGAGGTCCTTGCCAGCAGGGACTGTCTTTTGCCTTTCTTTGTATCCCTGGGGCTTAGCAGATAGTAGGTGCTTACTAAACACTTGCTGACTGATCGACTCAGAGCTCTTCAATGTGGTCCAGAAAAATAAAGGGACTCCCCAGCGCCACAAAGTGAAGGAACAGCATGGCTAACGATGACTACTGGTCTTCGTCACCACAGCGGGGCTCGACCCGGTTGGCATTGCTGCTGCTCTCATGGGTTCCCTCTTTGTGCCCATTTCCGGCTCGCTCTGCTGGAGAAAACCACAGAGAGCCCCCAAGTTTCTCTTCCTCTCTTGCTCGTCTGCTCTTCCAGAAGAGCCAGCCAAGATGGTGCTGATGGGGGAGTGTGCAGTGGGGGACAGGGAGTCGAACGTGCTGTTTATGAACCCACAGAGCCTCTGATATGCAAATATTCCCTTTGCAGGTCACCAGAGTGTGGGAACCTCCCAAGCTTCAGCCAGCCCTGAAGTGGGGCGAGGAAGAGGAGGAGAAAGGCAGCAGCTCAGCCTTTAAAAGAGTTAAAAACAAAAGCCACAAGTGAAAGGAGGAGGGGACTTCTCGGAGGCTGGTGACCGCTGCCTCTTGTGGACTGTCCGCCCCCTTCCCCAGGTTCCCCATTGAATCTTCTTGTCTTTGCTATTTCTCGGCTGTCTCTGGATAGTCTAGAGTTGCCACGGTGATGGGGCTTCCTGTTGAATGGGGCCGGCTCCCTGCTGTCCTGGCTGCTGCCGCCGCTGCTTCTCCTCCTCCTCCTCCCTGGATAAAGGGTTGTTTGTGAACAGGCAGACCTCCGACTTCCCTGCTCTCTTCCAGGCTGCATGCTCCCCCAGCTGTTCCCTTTCCCAGGGCTCAGCCACAGAGCGAGACTCCCATTCAGTAGTAAGGGCAAAGGCTTCAGGACCAGCTTGGATGAGATGCCAGCCTATCGAAGCCAGAACTGAAGCATTGTGCCTGAGCCAAACAGATGCCAAACTGTGACTTCAGACTCTGTTAGGGAAGAAAGGGATCCCCACCACGAAGTGGGAAGGGGAAAAAGAGCTCATCTGGATGTACCCAAGGATGTCATCTGGTAGCTTCCTCAGCTAGCTATTTATTTTTGCTAATTAGGTGCTAAGCTCAATTGTTTCTAGGCAGCAGAAGGATTACGCGTACTGTCAGCACCCTCTAAATTTTGGCACCCTGAGATACAACCTTGGCCACCCGGCCCTAGTTACAGCTTAGCGCCCTAGTACCCAGTTACAGATAATGAAGGTCTTTCCCCCTGTGTGTCATCTCCAGAGCCAACAAAGCTAGAATCATGAAGCGGTTGAAGGTTTGTCTTAAGGAAACAGCCAAGTTTTCCTTCCAGAGCCCCCTCCTCACTTCGGGCAGCCTACAGTCAGCCCAGACAACTTAGGTCCCTTCTTTTTTCAAAACAGACTTCTCTTCATCCTCCATCTACTCCTGCTCTCTGCTGGAGAGAGGGGGAGCCTGAGACCTTGCCAAGTGCCCCCGGGTGCCTCGGAAGCAACAGTCACCTTTTCTTAGACACTCAGTATCTTCTGAAGATACTGGAGGGATTCTCATATTTGTACTGGGGTACTGAGGCAGGCTGGTGAGGAAGAGACTTAAGAGTGTGGGGGTGGGGGGAGCCTTTTGCTGGTGGTGCAGGAGAGTGTTAGACTCTGAGTTAGGAAGACTGAAGTTCAAATCCAGCCTCAAACACTTATTTGGCTTTGTGACCCTGGTCAAGTGTTATAATCTCTCTACACCAGCTTCCCCGTCTGTGAAATGGGGATAATGACAGCTCCTATTTTCCAGAGTTGTTGTGAGATAATAGAATGTAAAGTGCTTTGCAGACCTTTAAGCACAATGTAAACCTTAGCTATTATTATTGTTACCAAGTTTTGCCAGAGGATAACTTTAGTCTAGAATCTTGGTTGTCCTAGTTGGTCCTAGTTGACCAATTACTTCATTGAACCACAGATTTCAGAGCTGGAGGGGACCCCTAGGGCCATCTAGACCATTCCATCCCAGTAATTGGTAGGAATCAAAGGACGGTGGTCGAGGTCAAGGATCCAATTTCAGCCCCCCTTCCAGGGATAGGTTGGTTCTTTCTGGCCATTCTTCTCCCCCTTGCCCCTTGTGACTCTTTTGTGGGGGAGGAGAGAGAAGGGCTCATGATGTTCTTGCAGTTAGATAGGACGCTGGGCCTGGAGTAAGGAGGACCTGAGGTCAAATTCAGACTCAGACACTAAATAGCTGGGTGACCCTGGGCGAGTCGCTTAACCTCGGTTTGCCTCAATTTCCTCATCTGAAAAATGAAGATGATGAGAATAGCACATAGCACTTACCTCCCAGAGTTGTGAAAATCATATAAAATATTTGTAAAGCCTTTCTCACAGTGGCTGGCACGTAGTAAGCACTTTATAAATGTTAGCTGTTGTTATTCATTCACCTTCTTCCTCCCATTGGGCTTAGGTAGAGAATGGAGCTGAGTACATCCTGGAAACCATCGACTCCCTGCAAAAACACTCATGGGTGGCCGACATCCAGGACTGCACAGACCCCGGGTAAGCAACAAGGAGTTGAAGACAGAGACAGAAGGGAGGTGGAGGGCGTCACATTTGGATGGCACAAAAGGAAAGGGGCCGTGAGTCAGTGGGACAGCCTTGAGACAGATGGGTAGGACCTGATGTACTGGTCCCACTCACAGTTAGAACTCACTACTTCTCACTTCCCTCTCAAGTTCATGAGCCTCAGTGAATTTCACATTTCCTGTGTTGTTAGAAGACCAGTTGCGTCATGTTGGGCTGGTCTGGGCCCCTCCCTGGTGCACTCATACTTTCCTTCCCTTTAACATTTTGGGGCAGACCTCCCTTGCTTCCACAGGCTGGACTCTCTGGGGGGCAGAGCAACCTGAGTTATGTCAGTAATGGAAAACTCACTCCTTCCCTTTTTCTTGTCCACTACATCCTAGAATCAACAATTCTGTTGTAACCCAGCCTCTGGGACAGACTCAACCCAGACTCTCCCACAGCTACCTTCGCCCACCGTGAGTGAGATGAGAGGGAGGGCTCTCTGGGGGTGAGCTAGAAAGCTGAACATCTCAAACCTCATGAACCTTGGTCTGACTAGGGAGGAAGGCCCTTCTATATGGTAGATCTTTTGTAGGTTGGGGCCTGGCACATGGCCCTTTAGGTGCCCAATAAATGCTTGCTGAATCAATGAGTAGAAATAGTGTTATTCTTTTCAAGTAGCCCTCTGTTTTTTGACAAGTCAATTCTCTGGGCCTCAGTTTCCTCCTTTGTAAAATGATAAGAGATTGGGCTAAATGACCTCAAAGGTCTCTTCCAGCTATAGATCTATGATCTCATGACTTTGTCCCAATATTTGACAAAATATCAGATGTAAAGGAAGTGACGTGTGAGTTCCATTGGGGAGAGGTCATTGACAACTTGAATGCTTGGGCAAGTCTGCGTAGATGGGGCTTCCCAAGATTGAACTTTAAGGGTGGGAGGAAGTCAGTAGGTAAAAAGGGAGAGGGGATCATGCCAGGCCTAGTAAATGTCATGAGAAATTCACGGCTTCCAAAGTACTTTCCATCAGCTTCCTCCCTTTGTCCTCACAGCCATGTGGACCGACAGGTGCGATAATCTCTGTTTTACAGAGGAGGAAACTGAGGCTCAGAGAATGTGGGGGAATTCTTTGGGGTCACGCTGCCATTTAGCATCCAGCACTCTCTCTCCTGCGACACAAGAATGTCCGGAGGTGGACTCGAATGAGTCTGAGACCCACCCACAATATCCACTTGGAGAAATCCAGCTGTTAGTGGGCGGTGAGACTGGAGCTCAGGAAAGAGGTTCTGAAACACACTTAGAGAGATGAGAGAGTGTAATATCTCATAGGGTCATAGATCTGGGAGTTGGAACAAACCTCGGAGGTCGCTGAGTCTAGCGCACTCATTTTACAGATGAGGAAACTGAGGCAGAGTGACCCTTTTTTTCATGTGGTTTGCCCAGAGACACACAACTAGTAAATGTCTGAGGTAGAAACTGAATCCACATCTTCTTGGCATCAGTCCAGCATTCTGTCCGCCTTTGCTGCCTCTCTGACCGGGAGGCAGAAGAGCTGAGTTGGAGCCCTCCCTGACTCTGCCATTTTGCCGCCCAGTAAGTATGGATAAGTCATTTAAGCCTCAGTGTCCTCACCAGTCTGCTTTCCACTAGACCTCCCACTCCAATGGGGTGAGAGGAAAGGCAGCAACCACAGAGGGTGATCCAGAGCAGTAACAACAAGGGTTATGAAACATCTCCAGCGCACTCAGGTGCTGTGCTAAGGGCAAGGGACACAGAGAAAGATGAAAACGTGTTCCCTGTCCTCAAAGAGCTCTCGCTCGAATGGGAGAGACAACATGTGAACGGCCAAGCATTCGAGATGTACACATAGTCAATGGAAGGTAATCTTAGAGGGCAGGCACTAGGCCCTACGGAGGCAGGGAGAAGCCTCCTACAGGAGGGAGGAGTTGAACGAAATCTCAATGGAGGCCAGGAAAGAGAGCATTCCAGGCCTGAGGGGAAAGCCAGTGCAAAGGTGCAGAGGTGGGAAATGGGTGTCCCGAATAGTACATGGGCTGGCGTAGCTGGTCAGAGAGAAGGTGGAGGGGAACAAGGTATAAAAAGACTGGAAAGGGGGGAAGGAGACAGGTTGGGAAGGGATTTCAATGGCAAACACAGCGTTTTCTGCAGGTGTCCCAGATATCTCAGGGCCGATTTAAGCTGGTAAGGCGTAAAAGCCCACTAAGACTTTTGGGACACCTTTTGGGATCTGGGAGGTAATAGGGAGCCACTGGAGCCGGAGTGTTTGAGTGAGGGTGACATAATTAACCGCTTTGGCAGCTGAGATGCAGATGGATTGAAGGGGGAAGAGAAGACTATGGCCACAGTCCAGGCAAGAGATGGCGAAGGCCCCGGCTGGGGTTATGCCGTGTGAGTAGAGAGAAGGGGACAGAGAACATATAAAGGATGGTCCACCAGCTGGACTGTTTGGGGTGAGAGAGGGGAGCTGAGGGACCAGCAGGCTGCTGGTTCAGAAGAGGGAGGAGTCTGGGGAGGGCAACGTCACCAGTTCTGTTTTGGACATGTTGGTCTGAGATGTTTGTGGGATGTCCCATTCAAAGTGTCCGATGGACCATCAGTGGCGTGGGACTGGAGTTCAGGAGATAGAGTAAGGCTGGCATAGACATCAAAGAGTAGGTTGTATAGAAATGCTAAATGAATCCAAGGAAGCTGGTGCGGACACCAAGTGAGATGGTATGGAGGGAAAAGGGGAGAGGGCCCACGGCAGAGCCTTGAAGGACACCCACTGTTAGAGGGTGTGGCAGGTAGGAGGAGAACCTGGAGAGAGTGACAGCAGGAAACTGAGAGGGGAGGGAGGGCCACACTCTTCACACACACCCCCACACACATATACCACACACACACACACACCACACATACCACACACACACACACACAGAGCAATTAGCTCCCCAGAATTGTGTTAGTCCCAAACTATGATATACATAGCAGCACAGAAGAAGGACTTTGGGCAAATCACTTGACTTCTTGGGCCTCCGTTTCCTTGTTTGTGAAATTAGAAGATAAGAAGATGACCTCTGTGGTCTCTTCCAGCTCCAAATCAAAGTTCCTATAATCACTCTGAGCCTCAGTTTCCTCATCTGTAAAATGAAGGAATAGGACCAGAGGACCTCAGAGATCCCTTCTAGCGCTAAATCTGTGATTCTGTGATTGGAGAGTGGGCAGCTAGGGGGTGCCATAGTGCACAGAGTGATGGGCCTGGAATCAAGACGATTGAGTTCAAATCTGGCCTCTGATACTTCCTAGCTGTGTGACCCTGGGCAAGTCACTTCACCCTGTTGGCCTCAGTTTCCTCATCTGTAAAATGAGCTGGAGGAGGGAATGGCAAACCTTGCCAGTATCTCGGCCGAGAAAACCACAAATGGGGTCACAGAGAGTTGGCCACAACTGAAAACAACTCAACAACAACATCGTTATTGCAGAGGGAATTCCAGGTGGGAGGGGTGGCTTGAACAAAGGTGCGGAGGAGGGATTGATGGTGAAGCGGGACTCTTCCACCCAAGTTCATGTCATATTCCTACTCTGCTGAAGCAGAGAGCACCTTGTGAAGTGGCCTCTTGTGCGAGCTATGGGGTAGGGTGGGAGAGGAGCACAAATCTAGACTCTCCGCTCTTCCTTTGCAGAGACAGTGGGGACGACATTGAGCTTTCCTCCTGTGCCCAGGGCGGCTGCCTTCCCGGCCGGGTATCTTCTTGCAGCTGTGAATTCCTCACCGAGGGTACGTGAAGGGGCAGCCCCTCGGTGGCCTTTGGGAGCTGGGTCATTAAGGAGGGTGGTAGGCTCCATGCACGATCCCAAGCTCGCCTGCCAATCTCTGTCTTCCATGAGCAGATGTCCCCCGGCCCCCGGAGAGGTGCTCTGGGGCCCCGGAGTCAGCACTGGGTGCAGTGGTCACAGCCCCCCACGGCAGGGCCAGGGACTCCACAGGAGAGCAGTTGACCCACGTCCCTCTAGAGAACTTCCTTCAGACCCTGGAGTCTCCCGCCAGCACCAGTCACACAGGTACCTGCTGCGCCTTCTTGGCATTGCTGGAGGTTAATTACCTCTTTTTTTCTCTCCAAGCCCATGGCTATCACTGTGGACTCGGCCCTTATCTCTTCACATGGGAACTCCTTTTTGAGGGGGAGGAGAGACAAGACCTGTGCTTTGATCTTCACAGGCAGCTACTGGTGAAGTCGTTGCTTCAGCCCATGTAGTGTGGCACCTGCCCGACCACCCAGAGCTTCCTTTATAGCAGGGCCTCTTAATTGTTTCGGTGTTGTGGGCCCCTTTGGTGGCCTGGCGAAGCCCATGGAGCCCTTCTGTGGAGTCCTACACTCAGAAATGAAAGAAATAGTGACTGAAGGAAATGCTCAATTTCAGTTCAAGGTCCATGACAATCAGGATATCCTTTTTCCCATAGAAGTTCATGGATCTCCTCAAATATGTCCGCAGACCCCTTGGGTTTCCATGGAACTTAGGGAATGAAGTGACTTGCCCAGGGTCACATGGAACCCAGGTCTTCCTGTTTGTGAGGCCAGCTCTGTCTCCGCTATGGTACAGTGCCTCCATGGACTATTATTGCCAGGTCCCTGGTAATTATCCCTACATTGTCCCTTTCAGAATGTCCTTCCCCTGCCCTCACTAACCATCTTCAGTAGATAAAGTCCAAATTATGTAGAACTGGCCTTCAGGGCCCTCCCAGTTCTAACCCCAGCCTGCCTTTCCAGGCTCTTCTCCCACTAATCACTACATTCCATTAGACTGGTCTCCTCACAGTCCCCCCACATTTCTCAGACCATCTCAAGGACTTGATGGCTGTAGGGAGCTTGCCAATGCAGATCAGTACCCGCAATCTCCCAGAGTCACCTGGGGCCTGGAAATGTCAGGTGGTTTAGCCAGGGCCTCACAGCAAGGAGCTCACCTTCACTCTCTCCACTATGCCTCTTAGGCCCCCTCCATGTACCATTTTGGTCCTCACATCCAGGATTTTTATGATACTTCTTCATCACCTGGAATACCCCAAATGCTGCTAAGTTACTTTCTTCTCCTCCTTCCCAACCTGATTTCCTTGTCTACACACTCACCTCCATGTCTGTGGCATATCAGTCCCACCTCATCCCACCTGGGCCAGTCAAGACAGAGCCCTTCCTCAGGAGCCTAGCAAGGGCTGAGGTCTGCGATGCTTCTTCCCCCCACTCATGGCACCATATCTCTCTCTCCAGGGGAGGAATGCAGCCAGGTGGATCTGGAGATTGTCCTTTCAGACTATCCCTGGTTCCATGGGACTCTGTCCAGGATCAAGGCAGCCCAACTGGTCCTGGCAGGAGGAGCCAGGAACCACGGCCTCTTTGTCATCCGTCAAAGTGAAACACGGCCAGGGGAGTATGTGCTGACCTTCAACTTCCAGGGCAAAGCCAAGGCAAGTGTGTACAGACTGTGGGTTGGAGATTGCGGGTTGGGAATGACAAGAGAGACGGATGTAGTGAGGGAAAGAGCATCTGCCCTGAAATAAAGAGGGCCCTGCGTGGCCCTGGGCAGCTCGCATTCTCCTCCTGACTGTGAGAAGACTGACAGAATTGACCAGGCACTGGAGCCAGGACCTCCCCTTCCTACGTACTTCAAATCAAGCTCCCTTCATGTTCAGAGGCAGCCAGGTGGTACAGTGGGTAGAGCAGGGGGCTTGGAGTCAGGAAAACCAGAGTTCAAATTTTGCCTTTTATATGATCCTAGGCAAGTCATTTCACCCCTCTCAGCCTCATTTTCCTCATCTGTAAAATGTGGGGCTTAGACTCAGTGACCTCTAAGGTCTCTTCTAGCTCAAAACCTGTGGAATATCTGTGCCTCAGTTTCCCTGTCTGTAAAATATAAGGTTTGGATTCATTGGCTTCTAAGGTCCCTTCCAGCTCTAACCTATATCCCTCTGATCCTGGCTTGACTGATTTGATCTACCTGGTACTAGAGATGCTTTCACCCCATCCTTCAGAAGGGAAAACAAAGGCCCAGAGGGAGGGGACAAGTAGAACTCTAAGCACACCCCTGGTGTCACCACTATCAGGCCTCACGTCTCCTCTGATTCCTGCTGGCTTTGCTTCGGCCCTCTTTAGGAGCTCTCGGGTCCCAGGAGCCAGTCCCAGGCTGGGCACATGGAGGCAGGATGGCTGGGGCCATCGGATGCAGTCACCTCTTTTCTGACCATGGAAAGATGTATCCATGGTGAATTCTTTAAGGAAGTCTCGTCCTACCTGTGGATTTTTGCCGATATTGGCCCGAGAGAGAGAAATCTTCTGCCACCCCCCCCCAAAAAGAAAGAAAATTATAGGCAAATATAAAGAATGTACATAAGCAGAAAGGGCCACTGGGTGGCGCTGTAGTGGACAGAGTTCAGGGCCTGAAGTCAGGAAGATGTGTCTTCATAAGTTCAAATCTGGCGTGAGATACTTACTAGCTGTATGACCCTGGGCAAATCACTTAACCCTGTTTTCCTCAGTTCCTCATCTGTAAAATGAGCTAGAGAAGGAAATGGTGAATCTCTCCAATATCTTTGCCAAGAAAACCCCAAATGGAGTCACGGAGAATCGGACATGACTGAATAACAGCATAATCAGGGAATCTTTTTCTCCCTCCCTTTAAAAACTATTCCATGAGTAAAATCCACTGGGAGACAAGAAAGAATGTATCACTTAAGTTCAAACACACATTCTCCTTCCTTTGATCTTGTTACAGAATGTCCAGGCATTCTCTTGCCTCCCACCCCCAAATGCTTTCAGCAACAATTAGGTGCCAGGCACTATGCTATGTGCTTTACGAATATTATCTCCTTTCATGTTATTAACCCATCTATAGTTGAGGAAATTGAGGCAGACAAAGGTTAAGTGACTTGCCCAGGGCGGCCATGCAGTCAAGGCTTGAGTCTGAGTCATCTTGACTCTAAGGCTGACGTCCTGTCTACAGCCTTCTCTCCTCCACATTTGGCAACAAATAAGCTAGAATTCTAAAGCATGTTGCCCTTACTGCCACATCACTCAGATTAGCAGGAATGTCCAGTGCTGGCTAAAGTAGTTTCTGGGATCTCTCAACCTCACCATTGTGGTGACTGTTTCACGTGAGTTTAACTTCCATAAAAAAGAAGAATCGGCATCAGCGTCTTTATCCAGTTCCTGTTTTTCAGAATCATCAGTTAGTTTGAGCAGGTCTGTTTGGGGCTGTCGTCAACAGATGCTTGCATGTACAGCTGCCTTCTCATTTTTGTCCCATCTTCTACTTTGGAGTTGAGTTGGGCTTTGATCCAATTGCATGAACATCTAGCTCTCCAATGATTCCCACGCCTATAAAGAGCCTTCCTATTAAGAGGCAGTCAATTTCATTGTGGAAGATTGGTGTTTGGATTTCACCATGGCCATCAACTTCTGACTCTCCTTGAAGAAAGGATGAAGGAGACTTTCTTTGAGGGGCTGTATGGTGTAATGAAAGGACCCTTAGTTTGGAGTGTGAAGACCTGGGTTCACCTCTTGGCTTTATCACTTTCAACCTGTGTGACTTCTCTGGGACTCAGTTTCCTTTTCTCTAACACGGGGCCTATAAGATCCCTTTTGGCTCTAAATCTTTTGCTGTTGGTTCATTTTTCAGTCATGTCAGACTCTTCACCACCTCTTTTTGTGAGGGAGGTTAGTTCTTGGCAAAGATACTGGAGTGGTTTTGCCATTTCCTTCTCCAGCTTATTTTACAGATGAGGAAACTGAGGCAAACAGGGTGAAGTGACTTGCCCAGGGTCACACAGCTAGTAAGTATCTGAGGCCATATTTGAACTCAGGTCTCCCTGAGGCCTGGCACTCTATCTGCTGTACCACCAAGCTGATCCCACAGTATGCAGCTGTGAGACTTTGAGTATCAATAAGCCTTTGGCCTCTTTCATTTTCTTAATTCTTTTCTTTTTTTTTTTTTTAGGCAATTAGGGTTAAGTGACTTGCCCAGGGTCACACAGCTAGTAAGTGTCAGGTGTTTGGTATGAGGCCGGATTTGAACTCAAGCACTTCTGACTTCAGGGCCAGTGCTGTATCCACTGTGCCACCTAGCTGTGCCCATTTTCTTGATTCTGAACAACATTTTTTGGCCATTCCCCCCATGCCCACCTTTGCATTTATGTCACCTGGTATCCAAATACATTTTAATTTGGTTTAAAAAATCTTGAATTCTTCCTATTTCAACATCTTCAATGTATATTAGCTTATAGGCTTCAAATGTCTTCCCAGCAATCCCCTTACAATCACAGATTTAGAGCTGCAGAGAGCTTAGCAGCTGGTGAGGCTAATTCTTACCTTTTACAGATGAACTGAGGCCCACTGTGGCATAGTGACTTGGCCAAGGTTCACACAGGTACTAAGGGGTAGAGCCAGCATTTTAACTAATACCCTCTGGCAGGGAGGTGGTGTGGAAGGGGAGTCAGGAAGGCTTGAGTTCAAATCCTCCCTCAGATGCTGACAGCTACGTGACCCCGGGCAAGTCACTTAACTTCTTTCCACCTCAGTTTCTTCTGTAAAATGGAAAGAATAGCATCTTCCTCCCAGGGCAGGTTGTGAGGATCAAATGTACATAAAGAGCTTTGGAACCTTTGAAATGCTGTGTAAATGCTAGCTCAGCATCATCAGTGTTGTTGTTACTGGTGGTGGTGGTAGTACTGGTGGTGGTGGTGGTAGTGGTGGTGGTGGTGGTACTGGTGGTGGTGCTGGTGGTGGTAGTGGTAGTGGTGGTGGTAGTGGTGGTGGTGGTACTGGTGGTGGTGCTGGTGGTGGTAGTGGTGGTGGTGGTGGTACTGGTGGTGGTGCTGGTGGTGGTGGTAGTGGTGGTGGTGGTACTGGTGGTGGTGCTGGTGGTGGTAGTGATAGTGGTGGTGGTGGTGGTGGTGGTACTGGTGGTGGTGCTGGTGGTGGTAGTGGTGGTGGTGGTGGTGGTACTGGTGGTGATGCTGGTGGTGGTGGTAGTGGTGGTGGTGGTGGTGGTGGTGGTGGTGGTGGTGGTGCTGGTGGTGGTGGTAGTGGTGGTGGTGGTGGTGGTGGTACTGGTGGTGGTGGTGGTGGTGGTGGTACTGGTGGTGGTGGTGGTGGTGGTGGTGGTGGTGGTGGTGGTGGTGGTGGTGGTGGTGGTGGTGCTGGTGGTGGTGGTGGTGGTGGTGGTGGTGGTGGTGGTACTGGTGGTGGTGCTGGTGGTGGTAGTGGTGGTGGTGGTGGTGGTGGTGGTGCTGGTGGTGTGGTGGGTGGTGTGGTGGTGGTGGTGGTGGTGGTGGTGGTACTGGTGGTGTGTGCTGGTGGTGCTGGTGGTGGTAGTGGTGCTGGTGGTGGTGCTGGTGGTAGTGGTGGTGGTGGTAGTGGTGGTGGTGCTGGTGGTGGTAGTGGTGGTGGTAGTGGTGGTGGTGGTAGTGGTGGTGGTGCTGGTGGTGGTACTGGTGGTGGTACTGGTGGTGGTAGTGGTGGTGGTGGTACTGGTGGTGGTGGTGGTGGTGGTGGTGGTACTGGTGCTGGTGGTGGTGGTAGTAGTGGTGGTACTGGTGGTGGTGCTGGTGGTGGTGGTGCTGGTGGTGGTACTGGTGGTGGTAGTGGTGGTGGTGGTGGTGGTACTGCTGCTGCTGCCACTGGGGGTCTCGCTGCTGTTGTCACTATTCTCTGATTCCAAGTCTCTGAGCCCCGTCCACTGCACCACACTGTGTACCATGAACACTTTGGAATGAGGTGACCAAGCATCCCATGGCCCCATGTTACTCACTAGGAAGTTAATCCTATTTCTAACCCCCTTTTAGAAAATCTGAGCTTATTGTTTCAGGAAGCAGAAATTTGATCATTTGTTTTCCTCCCTGGTGAGAATGGATGTGCCTCAGTTTCTCCCGGAGGGTATTGACTTGATTGTTGTGAGGATCAGATAAGATACTGTATCATAAAGCACTATATACCTGGTGCCATATAAATTCAAGCTGCTGCTTCTGTTGGCCAAGGGTTTCACATTTAGGATCCCAAGTTAAATTAATACTTATAGATGGTCAACAAAACCTTTGATTCTTCCCACCCTGTGTCCCATTTCTGCCATCATCACTGCAGGAGCAGAAAGGAAGTATGTAGGGGGGTTGTGATGGGGAAAAGGGAGTGACTTTGGAGTCCAAGGTCCTGGGCTTAAATTTTGGCTTGGCCGTTATCTAGATAATGCTGGGCAAGTCACTTCCACTCCCTAGGCCTCTACCTTAGAACACCATCCCTGCCCACTCCAAATGTCTGGCCCACGCACAGAGGAAAACAAATTACCCCATTTCCGCCTGGGAATTCATTAATCACCTGGTTATCAGAGAAGTTTCTTCTTCTGTAAACTGAGGCCTTTCCTAGTGCTAAGTCCAAAGAGCTCCAATTTGTATGTTTCCAAAATGTTTCCTGGGTCACTATGGCCAAATAATCAGTCAGGTAGTGGGGGACTTGCTGATGACGAGCCCTTCCGTCCTTCTCCTGGCTGGTCCCTGGCCAGCAGATGAAGTGCACTGCCCTTCCTGTCTCAGGCCCGCTTCCGAATTGATTTGAGGGTTCTTCGAGTTTGTATTAGCAGCACTAGAGCTTCCCCCTCCCCATTATTGGGGCTAATTGAGCGTTCATAGAATCATCAATCTGGAGCCGGCAGGGCCCTTGAGAAGCCGTCTTGTCCTAGCTGGCCGTAATAAGGACACTGGCGTTTCTATGGGTAACCGCAGATGGCTGCCCTGGAGCCTCCCATCACAGTGGGAAGGAGCGGGGGATGCTGTGTCCACTGGCCTTCCTGCTGGCTGCAATCTGGCCCTCTGCCCTTCGGATGCTCCCGTCTTCTCCTTGGAAAGGAGTCCTGTTCCACATGGCTGGGGCACCCTCTGTGGGCATCTCCTCCCTTCACTGTGCAGCTGCACCAGTCTCTTGGCAGCTTCGGAACCGTTTGCATATCTTAAAGATCATCTCAGAGTTAATGCTTTTCCCCTCAGGGGCTTTTCTCTTGGAATCCAACTCGCCCTTGCCAGCCAACTTAAAAGCCAACTTCTCTGATAACCAGGTGATTAATGAATTCCCAGGCGGAAATGGGGTAGTTTGTTTTTCTCTGTGCGTGGGGGCTGCAGCCATCCTTAGACATTTGGAGTGGGCAGGGATGGTGTTCTAAGGTAGAGCTAAGGGCTTGGGTGGAAGCGGGGAGGGGTCCTTAAACAGCTGTAGGAAGATTGGTCCCAGTGGGAACCCCAAAGAGAGCTAAGAGAGAGACTTTGCTCTTAGGGACAGGAGCCAGGCTGACGGTATTCAGGGTCCCATTATCCAAGCTGGGATTGACCCAAGGTCCGGCTGACCTTCCTTCAGCTTCCACCCAGAGGAGATGAGAGGAAGGTAAAGCTGCAAAAATGAGAAAACCCAACTCATCCCGAGCAGCCCCCAGGAACGGCTTGGCTTGCCCAGCTGGAGAGTTCACGCAGTCAGACTACAAGGCCTCCCCTTGCTTGTCAGACATTCCAGCCACACTGACCTTTCCGAGGGACAGAAACCAGCTCAGGTGTGGGCTGCCACGCACTCTTCCTCCTCATCCGCCCACAGCTGCCTATTTCCCTCTCCCTCTCTCACCTTCGCTCCAGACTAAGTTGCTGAAGACTCACTTTCCCCAGAAAACTTTCTTTGACCTCGTCACTATCATTGGACCAAAGGGTCCCAGATGAGGAGCTGAGGGAGACCACAGCAGGCACCTTGTCCAACTTCCCCATTTGGCAGGCAGGGAAACTGAGGCCCTGAGCGGGGTCAGCCTCCCTCAACGTCCTGCAGTCTTTGAGCCCTGGCTCCACACCTGCTATCCTTTCTCACATAGCCTTGGGAACCAGCACTCGTCTTCTTCGCCAAATGTCCTTCCATCATTTATGCTCACGCGCTTTTATTTTATTTCTAGTCTTCAAGGAGACTGTGATTCCCCTGTCAGATTAAGGAGGTGCAACGGCTTCTCTTCCAACTCAGTGCCGGGCAGGTAGTTCAAAGTCAGATAGACTGAGGGGAGGCAGAGATGAGGTCAGAGACCTTGGTCCTCAATTGAGACCCATGCTCTTCCTGACTTGCTTTAGGGTCATAGTATCTAGGAGCTGGAGGGACTCAAAGGCCATCTGGTCTAATCCCATCTCTGCCCATTTTACAGATCAAGCAACCAAAACCCATGGAGGTTAAATTACTTGCCCAGGATCACACAGGTAGGCAGCCTGAGGCAGGATTTGAACCCAGAACCTCTTGACTCCAGAGCCAGGGATCTTGTCATTAGGCCACACTGCCTCCTTCCTTCCTTCCTTCTCCTCTTCCCTAGCTCTCTCTTTCCTGCTTTCCTTCCTTCCTTCATCCCTCCCTCCTTTCCTCCTTCCTTCCTTTCTTCCTTTTTCCTTCCTTTCTCCTTCCCTCCCTCCCTCCTTCCTATGTCTCTCCTTTCCTCCTCCCTCCCTTCCTTCCTCTCCTCTCCTCTCCTCTTCCTTAGCTCTCCTTCTGTTCTTCCTTCCTTCCTTCCTTCTTCCTTCCCTCCCTCCCTCCTTTCCTTCCTGCCACTGCATTCTTACTGACCCTGGTCTTCTCCCACAGCACCTGCGCCTGTCCCTGAATGAGAATGGTCAATGCCACGTCCAGCATCTCTGGTTCCAGTCCATCTTTGACATGTTGAGGCACTTCCACACCCACCCTATCCCCTTGGAGTCTGGGGGAGCTGCCGACATCACCCTTCGCAGCTACGTGCTAGCCCAGGCCCCCTTGCCCGGTAAGAGGAACCTCCCTCTGCCCCACCCTCCCCCATTTGGGGTGGTCCAGAGCCTCTCTCCCTCTGGCCTGAGCTGTGGTAAAGGCCTGGCCTCTCTCCTGAGGCAGCAGGCAGACAGCGCCCTATCAGGATGGGCGGTTGGGTCTGACTTAGTTGTTTTCCTCCCTCCCTGGGTGAGACTGGGGGGCAGGGACCAGGGAGCACATGTGGGTACAGGATGGGCTGGGGTTGGCATTGTCTGTGGAAACCCTCTATGTTCTTTCTGGGCAGTTGCAAGCATCTGACGCTTAATGTCCAAAGCCCTTTCCCAATCCATGATCTTGGCGGGAGCTTAGATTCGCTCCCCTCTCTCCATCCCTCCCTCCCTCCCCCCGCCCTGCCCCCAGCAAAGTAAAAAGGGAAACCTGAGTTTGAAAGGAGGACACATTCAGCTAGTGCATGGAGGTTTATAAAGTGAATCTGCCAGTTCACAGGGGTGTCAGTCAGACTGAAACAGGAAGAGAGACCCAGGCCTCCCAGGAAGCCTCCCAGGGAGGCAGTGGGCTGCATGGGGAAGGGAGAAATCTTGCTTCACATGCTTGCAGGCTGTGTGACCCTGGGTAAGTGCCTTCCTCATCTGGTGATGCTTTTACCCCCTCCATACCAGCGTCCTGCTATGTGCCAGGCACCGTGCTAAGCACTTTACAAATATTATTTCATGTGATTCTCACAACAACCTGGAAGGGAGGTGCTGTTATTATTCGCATTTTACAAAAGAGGAGACTGAGGCAGAGGTCAAGTGACTTGCTCAGGGTCACACATCTAGTGGCTATCTGAAGTTGGATTTGAACTCAGGTCTTCCTGGTTCCCGGCTCAGGGCCACCTAGCTGCCCCTGGTAGTCTTCCATCTCAGTGGGTGGCTCCCATCTCATCTAAGCATGTGAGCAGTCCGGCAGTATAGATGGCTGCTGGGGAGCAGAGCTGGGGTGGGGGGAGGGGGAGCATAGGGTAAGGACACTTGGAGGTGGGAGGCCTTCCTGCCACCTCAGTGAGTTCTGGGATAGCCTGGGGCCAGGGGAGGAGGCACTCCATCCTTTCCAACACCCAGCTATCCTGGAAATCTGATGCTTTTTCCATCACATAGGACTTCAGATACCTGTGGATGGTCCTCATGTCTCTACTGAGCTGTCTCAACCTCCTCAGTTCTGTCAACCAAACCTTCAAGGCCACAAACTCAGGGCCCTTCACTGTCTTGATCTCTCCTCTCCAGGTGCTAAAAGCTAATCAATTCATAGTCTTAGTGCAGTTTTAAGCTTTAAAACTTTGGGGACACCCCCTGCTTCCTAAAATGTAGGGCCCAGAACTGAACACTATTACAGATGTTGCCTGGCCAGGGCAGAGGACAAAGGCATTCTCATCTCCCTTAATCTGAATCCTGTGTCCCCTGAGGCAGCCTTAAGGGCCCTGATTCCTACTGAGCTTAGGATCCACTAAGACCCCCAGATCTTTTTCAGACAATTCATTGTCTAGTCGTGGCTCCTCCATCTTGGCTTTGTGAAGTTAGTTTTGTTTCTGGATTGAATTTTACATTATTAAAGGCAGCCTGTCCTAGTGGATAGAGAGCGGGTCTCACAGCCAGATGACCTGCCTCTGCCACATGCCTGGACATATCACTCTGCTTCTCAACCCTCTAAGCAAATCTCTGACCCTCTAAGTTTCCGAGAAGGTGCCAGCCTGCATTAGGGGAAGTAGTTTCCTTGCCCGGGAGCTCCCTTTGCAGTTGAGTCAGAGACCCAACCTCTCGCCTGGCTAATGGAGTCCCCCTCCCTGAAAGTCTTTGAGCCAAGGCCAGACAACCGTTTGGGAGAAAGGGTTAGGAGGGGAATTCTCCTTCACACACAGGTTGGCACCAATGGCCTCAGAGGTGCTGTCTCACGCCCTCAGTTTCCCCACCATCCAACTGTACTCCCCGGCTTCTAGCAGGCTTCAGTCTGTGGCCTGGAACAAACAAGTTCCTTTGGGAGAAGCCCATAGAGGGAGATGGGGTTATTGACTTGGGAGAAGCCCACCTTGGCCATAGCTGGAGCTGAGAGAGCTGCTTCCAGGAGAGGTTGGGCTGCCTTGGCATCAAGGGCTGTCCAGCCTCCCCCCTCCATCCCGGGGGTCCCAGGTATCTCAGGCAGAAGCAGGTGGGGAGCCCAGGCAGCATCATGTGATAGCAAGCTTCTGGCGGCCAGTGCAGAGCTTCCCCATTAATGAGCTGTGTGGCCTTGGGTGAGCCATCAAACTCCAGAAAATGGGAAGAATCACTTTACTGCCACCTCACGGGCTAGTTTGTTCCCTGTGAATCCGTGTATGGTCCACGTTATTGTTATTATGAATGTTTCTCCCAATGATCCATCTTTGAGCCAGGAGTGTGACCACAAGCATCAATAAATGTCACCCCAATGTCTGCTCTTGGGTTGGGGATCTAAAGGCAAGCTCCCTGCCCTCACTGGGGCTCAGCCAAAAAATACAGCCAACCATATCAGATCCTAGATTTAGAGATTTAAGGCAATGTCTCATTTTACAGATGAGAAGACTGAGGCATAGAGGGGTTAGGTCACTTGGTCGCGCAGGTAGGAGGCAGAATTCGAACTCCAAGTACCCTGGCCAGGAAGTGATCCTGAGCCCTGGCTCCTTTCAGGCACGTCTCAAGGGCTACCTCCTTTCCCAGTTCTCCCATTTGTTAGTGCCTGGTGCCTGACATGTAGAATATAAGCCTCATGCGGGCAAGGAGAATTTTGCTTTTGTATTTGTTTTTCCAATGCCTGTTAAACAGTAGGTGCTTAATAGATGTTCATTAATGGGTTGCTAGAGGAGTTCACTTGACTGGGGCAGTTGAAGAAGGTGTCATGAAAGAAGTGGGCCTTGAAGGAAAGACAAGCCCAGATGAGTGGGGGAAACATTTCAGGCAAAGGGGGGCTGCTTAAGCAAATGAATGGGGGTGGGAATGTGGCTGATCCCCCTAGCAAATAAGGAGTGGACCACTGCGCCCAGAGCAGTGGCCAGGGCTTGGGCAGTGGTCAAAATTCAAGGTGGAGAGATGGGGAATGAGGTCTGGAGCAATGGGTCCGGCTTGTCTCATCCTGCGCCCGCTGATGTGCTCTGTGTTTGTTTTGGCAGACCCTGGCCCGGCTCCCAGCACGGCCCCCCCGCCTCCCAGCTGCTGGAGCGAGCCCCCCACCCAGCATTATTTCTCCAGCTTCGGCCCTGGGCCCTTCCAGCCAGCTTCTCCCTCCGAGGGCGGGGGTGCCTCTTCCTCTTCAGCCTCCTCCTCCTCAGGCACCGTCCCGCACCCACAGTACCATCGCACCGAGGGCACGCTGAGCGCCCGAAGCCGCAGCAACAGTGCCGAGCGCCTCCTGGAGCCTCCTGGCCCTGGGACGGAGGACTACCATGACAGTGAGGGTGCCCGCAGTAGGGCCCGGGCGGTAGAGAACCAGTACTCTTTCTACTAGGCCCAGAGAGCTCGGCCTCCCATACCCAGGGAGCAGAATCCCTGTGGCTTGTGGGCGAGGACACCCCCTTCTCTGATGGGTGGAGGGATTGTTTGGCCCTTCGTGGTTCTGGAGAAATCCCTCTGAGTCTGGCTGGCATTCAGAGCTGGCCACGGTCTCTCCTTTTTCTTTCCCTTCCCTCTCCTGTGTTTCTCTCTGCCTTGGTCACACCCCCTTTGGTTACTGCTCTGGAAATGCGCCCACTAACCCATTCTGGGGGGAGGGGGTATGGGCCACTGCCCCGTGGCCAGGATCTGATTTCCCTTTCCCAGTCCTCCTCCCCCCATGGAACGGCCCATGGGTCGTGGGATTGAGTGCTCTATCAGAAGCTCTTCAGTGAAGATATGGATGTGATTAAAGAGCCTGTTTTAGGGACTGCAGCAATCCCTGGGCTCCGGACCTCCTTCTTTGTTCACCCCATCTTTTCTTCCATTCTTCTTCCCCCTCACTCTGTGTCTCCTCCAGATTCCTGCAATCTGAGCACGGAGAGGAGCCGTGGAGGCCAGCAGACTGAATCAGGCACTTTCAGGCACAGGCACCTTGGCCACTTGCTATCTCCATGCCCCTGCTTTCTGGGTCTCAGGTTCCCCATGTGTAAAAGGAAGTGGACGGAGCAGGTGCTGGGCTTTTGCCTGTGTCACACTTGGAGGTAGAGGTGCGGACTACAGTGCAGGAGAAGGGCCCTGCCTGCTGGGAGCCTGGAGTTTGGTTGAGGAAACAAAAGAAAAACCCGTGAAATATAAGTGGTAACAAGCAATCATCCGTGTTGAGCTGAAAGGGGCCTTGGAGGCCCTCGAGCCCCATCTCCTTTTTTAACGTGAGGAATCTGAGGCACAGGTTGCTTAAGTGATTTGCCCAGAGTTAGACAGTTAATAAGCTTCAGAGGAAGGATTCAAACCTGGGTTTTTCTGATTCCCAAGGATTATTGAGATTTGGAATCAAAAGACTTGAGTTCAAATCCTTGGTCAGTCATTCAGTAGCTGTGTGACTTTGGGCGAGCTATTTAATCACCTTCATGGCCTTCTCCTCCTGTAAATGAGAGGGTAGGATGCAGTGGCCTCTGCGGTCCCATCCAGCTCTACTCCTTAGATCTTCTGATCTTACCTGTTGGCCTTGTGGAGATACTTTCTAATGCAGCCGTTTAATGGGGGAGTTTGGGTTCCTACAGTTCCTAAATGCAGTGGAAACGGATGAGCCCTATACCTCCCTTTCCCAAACACATACAGAAAGCCAAGATTAAACTACCTGACTGAGTGGTAATGATCAGTTATTCAGTCAACAAATATGGACTGAATGGTCCTTCCTATCCAGCCCCATGCAAAGGACTCTGGGAGATTCAGAGGAAATAGAAGGTGCCCAAAGACTTGGGCTCTCACCCTGGATCCATGTCAGATGTGACCCTGAGAAAGTTACCTTGATCTCTCTGGGGCTTGGCTTCCTTAGCTATAACATGGTGGAGCCTGGGAATGGACTCTGTGACCTCCTGGGTTCCTGTGGCCTTGATGCTCTGTGGACCTATTCTTGAGCAGATAATTAACTGAATATGAATGCAGTGCTATAATACCTCATCTGGACTGGATGAGGAGAGAGGCAGCCAGGGGTGATCAAAAGAGGGTGAGGAAGGTGGAGTCCCAAGTGGGCCAGCTACGAGCGTGGTTGAGGAGACAGAACACAGATTCGTCTATGACATAGATTACTTAATTCGTGGGCATTTATTAGGCCTTAACTGTGTTAGGCATACAAAGACAAATGAATTGGCCCCTGATCTCAAGGAGCTTACTTTCTAAGGGCAATGGGGGAGAGAGAGAAGATATGAACATGTATTAGAGTATACATAATGTATATGAAATGGAGGAGGGAGTTGGGAGGGGGGTCAAGAAAGGCTTCATGTAAAGCTGAGCTAAATCCTGAAGGAAACCAGGGATCCACTCTGCCATCTTGGAGGCTCCTCTTTGTCCGCCTAGCACAGTGTTACTTAGCCTTTGTGTGTGTTCTGGACCTCTTTGATGGTCTGGTGAAGCCCAGGGACCCTTTCTCAGAATGACTATCTGTCGCCTACATTCATAACTGAAGGAAATACTTCATTTAGCAAAAGTCATGATTGAATTTTTTTCTCACCCAAGTTCAAGGACCACCTGAAATTTCTCCACAGACCTCAAGTTAGGAGCTCCTGAGCCAGCAGGCAGGGAACAGGAGTGCAGTGGTCTCAGGGGGTGCATCTCCCAGCTGCTTCCCTACCTGTCTTCCCTACCTCCCCCCCTTCAGCCTCTGCTGCTGAGCCTCCTGACCAAGGCCAGGGAGCTGTCCTCCCTCCCTTCTCTCAGACTTGGTGGAGGCCATGGCCTGCTTTGGAGGAGTGATCATAGAGATAAAAAAAAAAAAGGAAGAATCAGAAGGCAGAAGGATGGTTTCAGGTTTGGATTTGTTTCATGTGCTGAAGTTTTGGGGAGCAGCATTCCCCTCTAAAGTTAAATGACCTGCAGCTAGACTGGCAGAAGTTACAAAGAGAGGCTCTAGTGGAAAATGGGAAAAATAGAGTAGAAATCAGCTGCAGCCCCTCTTAGCCTCTGGGCATCTTAATTCAGGGAACTGGAATAATGCCAAGTATAAGTAGGTACAAATCAGAAAACAGAGATCCCCAGGTGTCTGAAAGGCCCTTTGAGACCACCTAGTGCTCACCTCTCACCTCATGGAAGAAGCTGAGGCACAGAAAGGTAAGTGACTTACCCAGTGATATGCAGCCAGAAGTGCCGGAGCTGGGATTTGAACCCAGGTCCTCTGATCCCCTTGGGGCTCCTTCCACTGCACTGGGTTCCCTTGTACTTCCCAGGAGATCCAACCAAAATCCATCTGTTGCCCAGGGCCAGTCATCTTGTAGGGCTGGATGCCTGATCTGAGGCAAGCGACTCTGTGGGTGTTCCCAGCTCTCTTCCTCATCCCTGTTTGCGTCCGGAGGAATCCAGGGCAGGCTTTCTGGAGACAAGTCCCCAAAGAGCCTCCGCCTGAGAAGAGGGGTCCGAGAACAAGGAAGGGCTGAACCAGGCTTTGCCTCCAGATGAAGAGAGAAGGGTGGGGTGGGGAGGAGCTTTATTGGAGCCAGCTGCTTCCCTCCAGCAGTCACCAAGACTGTGGAGGGGCTGTGTCCCTAGGGAGGCCAGCTCCTGGAAATAGTCCTTTAGAATGAGCCCTTTCACAAAGTCTGGAGAGAATGTGGCTTTGGAAAAGGTCATCAGGCCTCATGTGCCATTAACCCCCAAGGCTGGCCCAGCAGTTTTCACCTTTGACCCCTTGAGCTGTTCTGAGCCCATCTTGGTCTTTCAGACCATGGAGTCATTAATGCTAGCTGACACATGAAAGCAAGTCAGAGAGTTCGTAGGGACGTTAGCATCCCCACCAAGTGACCTGCTCAAAGACACAAGAGTGAGAGTAAGAGGTGGGTTTGAAGCTACATCTCCTCAGATTCCAAGTCAAGTGGGATTTCTCCTACAACTCTAAGTCATTTCCAGTGGATCTCTTGGACCAGCAAACTTTAGATCAGGAGAGAGGGGATTTTAATTTAGGTGAAGGGAAGGATATGATGCAGAATCTGTGCCTCATGTTCAAGCGTTTTTAATGAAGCAAAGGATGTGACCCCTGCCCAGCATCCAGGGACCAAATAGAGAGTAGCCACTTGTCTGCTTTCTTCCTGTGTTTGGTCTTGGTGTTATGGACTGCACTGTAAGGCAGCAAACAGTCTGTCCTTATTTGATAATATGGCCTGGAGCTGGGAGTTCATTGGTTTGGGGTACTTCCAGGTGAGGAAACTCCCTCTACCAATACATAGCTCCTGCTTTACAGTTTTTGGTAATAAAAGTTACCTGGGATACTGAAAGTAACTTCCCCAAGGTAGCACAGCCAGTATCTGTCAGAAGCAGGATTTGAACTCCGGTTTTCCTAGCTGAGACCAGCTGTCTATCCACTTTGCCAAACCTGCCTCTGACAGACTGATATTATTACTTGGATTTCAAATCAACCAGCATTTAGTAGGTCCATACTAGGGGCAAGGCACTGAGGTTATAAAAGAGAAAAAAGCCCTGCCCTCAGGGGTATTACATTCTGTGAAAGGATGGGACCTATTCACAGATGAGTAAAGAAGAGATGATCTGAGAAGGCAAAAATAATAACTGAAAGCACCAGGAGAAGCTTCACGGAAGAGATGGGCCTTGAGCTGAGCCTTGAAGGGAGCTGAGGATTCTAAGAAGCTGGGAAGGAAGGGCATTGCAGGTGTGAGGCACAGCCAGTGCAAAGTCATGGAGGTGAGAGACAGGTTCAGAGAACCTCCAAGAGGCCATTTTGGCTAGAATGAAGCAGCATTGAAGGAAGTTGTGGAAGATGTCTGGAAAGATAGATTGTGGAAGGCTCACCCATCACCCTGGGGAATTTGCACTTCATCCTAGAGGTAAGAAAGGAACTGCCAAAGGTTCCTGAGCATGAGAGATGTCTGGTCAGATCTGGGCTTTGGGAAGATTATTTTGACAAGTGTGTGGAGCTAGGCAGAGACTGGAAGCAGGGAACAGTGTGAGATAAGCTTAGAGGTCTGGCTTAGCTCTCGAGGGTCTTTAAAAGCAGGTTAAGAAGTTTCTGATTTCTTTGGGAGGCTATAGGAAACGATTGAAGCCTGCTGAGCAGGAAGGGGTTGAGATCCGACCTATAATTAGAGAAGATTAATTGGCAGTGGAATCTGGGATGGCTTGCAGGGAGGAGAAGACTGAAAGGAGGGAGACCAATTAGGAAGCTATTGCCATAGTCGTAGGTCAGAGGTAATGGGCGCTTGAACCAGAGCGGAGGCAGTAGGAGTGGAGAGGGAAGGAGAATTGGATTATGCTTTGTAGGTAGAATTAACAGTCCATGGACACTAATTGGCCATCCGGGGAGAGGAAGGAAATGAAGATGACTCAGAATTTTTGAACCAGGGTGACTAGGAGAATGGTTTAGGGTGATAAAAATAGTGAAGTCGGGAAGGGGAGGGGAAGCTGGGGGATTTGGTTTTACAAGTGGTCCTGGTGGCACTTCCAGCCAGAAAAGTCTATCTACTTGGCAGTGAAAGGAGAAATATGAAATGGTAGTTTGAGGAAGGCAGAAGGGAAAGGAAAGTCTGTCTGGGGCTTTTAGGATTAACTAAGTATTTATTAGGAGCCTGCTGTCTACTAGACACTGTGCTGCTCAGCTCTGAGATTACAAATAAAACTGGAGACATCCCCTGCCCTCAGGGAGCTTACATTCTAATGTGAGAGACAGCACACATTAGAGGGGTGATGGCAATAAGCAATCAGTGTAATTTTATTAAGCACCTACAATGGGCCACATGCTCTACTGGAAAGTCAACAGTGAAATGTCCTCCCCTCA